AAGATGTGTCCAGTTTGAATTTTGTGTTTGTGCAGAATCATGGCTTGCTTAATTGGTTGCAGTTAAGTATGGCTCTTTGTCACTGAGACTGACCATCTGGGACGTGTAGATCCTTAGTCCCCTGTTCAGGCATGAAGTTTAGTCTTTGCCTGCTGCACCACTTTGGTAGCATTAAATGCAGCGTAGGGATGTGCTCCATGTGTCTTGTGCTCAGCATCTGTGGAAGGAGAAATCCTGCTCCTGGCTCTCTTCCATCTTTTTCGTCATCACTTCAAGTAAGAAGACAGTGAAAATTTCATTGCCTGGAGAAGGTTATTCTGGGAGTTGTTGAAGGACAGCACAGTCGCTGGTCACAGCCAGCACAGGTTCACAAAGAGGGAAGGGATCGTCCTGCTCTGCTTGGCCTGCTGCGGCCTCACATCGAGCACCACATGCGGGTTGGGGTGCCGCAGTACTGGAGGGGCATAAAGCCATTAGAGAGCCCCCAGAGGAGGCTGTGAGGATGGTGAAGGGCCCAGAGGGCAAGGCGTGTGAGGAGCAGCTGAGGGCCCTCGGTTTGTTCAGCCCAGAGCAGAGGAGGTGAGGGGAGGCCTCATGGCGGCCTGCAGCTCCCTCATGGAGCTTGTGGGTCCCTGCCAACTTAGGTTAGTCTGTGATTGTGTGATGCTTTTCTAGAGCTTCCAACTGAATTTTTAAATCAGAAATAATATGTGTGGAAGTAAACAACCCCCTTTTTTCGTTTAGTAGTGTTTGAATTTAGGAAACTGATGTGAATGCCTTGTGACTACTGAAAGCTGAGCACTGCAGGTTTTGTTCAGCTCGATTCTGTTCTCTGATTCATGTGCTGGCATAAGGGTTGCTCCCAGGCCAATCGTAATTCACTGGCTTTTTAAAGAAAGGGCTCTGCTGAAATGTTCAGCTAAAATAATCCCAAGATGTATCTAAATCAATCAGTAAGTTCTCACTGAGTACTAAGGGTCTGCTCTCTTTAGCAGAGCGTAAACAGCTAATTCTGTATTTCATGACTTTTGTGCCTGAGTCCCTTGTAATGCGCTTCCCATGGAAAGATCACCTTCTCCTGAGATTAATGTGAAAAAAGAAACACTTCGCTGTTATTTCAGTCTAATGAAGATTTTCAGCTTCTGGATTCATCTCAAAGGGATAGTGTGGTGTACAACTATTGTTACAATATTTACAAATAAAGCAGCAGTGCTTTATAAATTTTATTTCTGTTGGCTTCTTTTGTAGCTACATGTTGAATAATTCCCAGCAAGCTCAGATAGCATTTATGAGTAAATGTCGTTGTTTTCAGAAGAGTATTATCACACCTGAAAATAATATTGCTCTTTTTAGTCAATTATGTTCACTTCTGTTTTTTGTTTTTTTTTTTTACTTTTTCTTTTCTCTCTCTCTCTCTCTCTTTTTTTTTTAACCTAACTTGCTTGACTTTCATTCCTTGCGACTGGTTCCATATTAATTCCCTTTAAATTGTGATCGTGCTGTGAGATGCAAGATCCTTACTCATGTGTCCTCTGTGGATTTTGAACAGCTCCCCACTAGGGTAAAATTAAAATTCCAGTGTAGTTCCAGAAGAAGGTATGTTGCTTCTGTAACAAGGTAAAAGACTTCATTTCAGTGAGAACATCACTTGGGCTTTTCACAAAAAGGTTATGAAAGCTATTGTATTAGTGCATTGCCAATATCAAGGGATGTGTTTGTTTTTGCATGTACGGTGAATTTATGGACAAAATGTCTATACGGTTGCATCAGACTCTGCATGTATTCAGATTTATTACTTCCCTGGCATTTTAGGTCAAGGACAGAGGCAGGATGTAAGCACCAAAACAATAGATATTAAAAAAACAGAAAAAACACACACACACACAAAAAAAACCACAATTTCAGATTCTTTTTAGTTTACAAAAGTAGTACTTTAAGGATGATTTTAAAAATGGCTTGTTTGTGTACTACTGTTTCTTGATTAGAGAGTATGAGTGCTTTGCGAATTTCTTAAACAAACCCATTGTGTTTTTAAGAACAAAGGAGTTGCTGAAAACAAAGCAGGTAGTGCTTTGTTAAATCAAGCAGGTAGCTATTATGGAGTGCAACAGAGGAGAGTCAAATTGGATGGAGAATTCAAAGCTGTAAGGTCGGTTAAGTAGCAGTGTTTTACTAGAGACTGTACAAAATTCATCATTGCATCAAGATTTTAAGTTGATTAAATATTAAAAAAAAAGTATGTAATTGTAGGGTTTTTTTTTTTGTTGTTTGTTTTTTTCAGCTACGTTAAAAATTAAGTTACTATTTGATCTCTTCAGCCCTTGCTTTGCAGAAGCCAATTTTCTGGAAACTAGGCAAAGGAGGGTGAAGCCTCCATGGACCCAGAGCAACAAGCCAAACGAATGATGCGTGTGACTGTTTTACAGTGCTTTCCCCCTTGCATAGATGTTGCAGTCCAAAATTATTGTACTTCTTTTTTTGCCTGTAAGGAAAACATAGTGTCATACTTAAAGTGCAGAAAGGGCTTTTGCAATTAAGTCCTTGCGTCTTGCCCCTTCCAAACACACTCATTGCCATGAGGAATTTATACATGCCTTTGAAGAACATATTTTTTTCTCTGATTACTTGCGTGCACTTCTCGGAAAGGTGATTGCTACCTTCTCACAGGGGCACAGCCCTGCAGACTTATTTAATTAGCAGTCAGAGCTCTGCCACAATTACTGGTCTAACCCCTTTTGTGCCAGATATGTTGGGTATGCGTATAGGCCACATGGCTGTAAAGTTTGAGAGCAATTTCCCCTCACTACTGTCCTTTCATTCAGGACCTACTAATGATGGATTATTACCTTTTTATTATCTGGAGTTTTGTGGAAAACAGGGACTAGCTTTCATTATAAGACAATCTTTTATTTATTTGTACACTTAAGTTTTTAGAGACGGAGAAACACTTCTTGTATTTCACAATTGCTGAAGCATCCGAAGTGTATCAGCTTGAAGTTGTGAGAGCTTCATGTCCTGGTACCTTTTGCCATTAGTTGTCTTCACAGCCTTCATCATGGGAAAGCAGACAGAAACTGTTGCTGCTTTTTCCTTCCTCTATTTCCTAATCATGTCATCTGGTTCTTGCAATTGCCCCAGCAATTGCATCACTCAAAAAAAAAAAAATGCATTTTCTTACATCCCTTAAGCTACCCCTTTTCCCAGCAGGAATATGTGCACGGGTTATTTTCTAGTAGTCGCAGCTCAGGTAGCCCGAAATGCCTTATGTGGTGACATTCACTGGTGGAAATTGGAGATTATTATTTCCCTTTGCAGTCATTTGAAGAGAGGTGTAGGGCCTTTCATTGGTAGTGGAGTTGGTGAAGATGTAGCCAGAACTTTGACTTCACCTTCAGGTCTGAACAAGAAGACTAAGAAGTTAAAAACAACTCAAGCCATTACGGTGGTCATGGTGTTTGTTGTCTTGGTTGTTTTCAGGGAGGCTGGTTTTGGGCACCTTTTCAGATGATCTCAAATTTTGGTTGCTAACTTCTTTGCATCATCACTGGGGCATAATTATGAGGGCAATGTACAGAAGCTCGCGGATTTTGTTGGTGGTTGGACAAATAAACGCTTAGAACTGCCACAAAGTTGGCATTCAGCTTGTTTTACCTGGTGAAATACCCTTCCAATAAAACTGGCAGCAGCCTCTGGAAAGCTGTATGAGCTTCAAGCTGCTGGGCTGGGGTTACACTGTATAGAACCTCTCACAAGAGGTCGTGCCAATAGCCCCAAAACTCTGTTTCTCACGTGGCTAAAAGGGTGTTGTTCTTCCAACTTAAAAAACTTATTTGATCTAAAGTTACAGATGCTTGGCAGTGTTTGTTACTGTCATCTCTAAAACAGTAGTTTCAAAATAAACAGTTGAAAAACCCTTACTGTGGTGTTTCCCTCAATACAATTGTAAAACTATAAAGAGACCAATAATTAGTTTTCCCATTTTATCCATAACAAAGCATCATTCCGACTCAGAGCCCCTCTCCGTGCAGATTCATGTATTTATAGTCACTGTAGTTGTAAACTGAGGGTGTAAAGAAACTTTACTCTGCTTTTTGAAACAAATTATTTGGGTCTGCAAAACATGAGGTTATCTGATCAGTATTTTTCACCAATTTAAATGTTCTACAGCTAGTGACATTCACAGATTTTTTTTCTTACCTGTCAACGAATTTAATCCAATATTATTTCTTGTAATGCTTTGTGTGAAGAAACCTGGGTAGTGTTAATTCTTTAGCAAAAAATGAAGTCTTAGGGAAGTGTTCATAGGTACTGTGCATGCACCTCTGAGACTCTGGAGTACGACGTTCATGGTAGTTAGTAATGCTTGACATTTGGAAAGGAAGCAGGAGTGTAGGCAAGGTTTAACTGACATGATGGGACAAGAGAAGAAAAGCAGATTATACGCGCTGAGTACATGTTTGGTCCTAATTGGTTTCCCTTTTGTCTTGTTCGACATCGTTTTCTTTTTGCTACAATCTAGTTTGCTGTTGAAGAACAATGTCTTTTTTTTTTTTCTTGTAGAGCTTCATGTAACTGTTTTTTGTTGCTGTTGTGTTTTTTTTTCTTCTCCCCCCCTCACCTTGTTGTGTTGTACTTGCTACAGAAAATGTACTTCCATTTTGGTTGTTACTTGATTGCATTCTTTTGAGGTAAGATTGGGGGATGATTACTCAATAGAGGAAAAAAATGGTAATGTTAAATAGTTATCTTTGATGGGTCTCATCCTCAACACAAGTTATTTCACTTTGTTTTTCTTCTAGTGTTCTCTGAAATAGCTTCAGTGTCAGAGGCAGTTTTTCACTCAAGATAATCAGACTTCTTAAACATCACTCAGAACATAAAATACCAGAAACACGTGTTAGAAAATTGTATTTTGAGTATTGCCATTATTAGTAAAATATATAAAAATGTCAGTGAATGCATAAAAGTCTCCCTTGTGTGCCCTTTGTTTTTTTTTGCAGGCACTATCCTGGTTGACAATATGCTGATCAAAGGGACAGCAGGCGGCCCAGACCCCACCATTGAACTCTCCTTAAAGGACAATGTGGATTACTGGGTGATCCTCGATCCCATCAGCCAGAGGTTGTACCTAAACAGCACTGGCCGAGTTCTGGACAGGGACGTAAGTTTGGAGTTTGTTTCCTTTTCTCCCCATAGACTTTATTTTCTGAGTCAGTGTATAATTGAAGAGTGATCATAAACACAAGAATTGCTAGAACATAATAGCAGCATCTATCTTTTGTCCCCAGATGAATGTGAACAGAGTTAATTTGATTCTTTGTAAAGACTTACTGGAAGCACACTTGGTGATGTGCATAACAATATTATGTGGGCAAAGACAATAATAAAAAGCAAACTTGGCGATGTGCATAACAATTATATGTGGGCAAACACAATAACAAAGACAGAACAAATAGTTGTGTGAATTAGCAGAAATACTTCTTGCACCAAAATTGTTTATTGAATCAAAAGCATTTTTATGTTTTGCTGCTGTTGTCTGGGAGAAGTCCTGCTCACCTCATGGCCCATGACTCAAAGCCTGCTCTACCTGTGTACATTAGCTTATGAAATGTAAGAGAAAGCAAAGGAGTTGTACATGTTACAATTCACATTTCAATATCAATTTACTTGCAAAGCTTGACATACTCAAATGAAAATGTGCTAGTGTTTTTTTTTTGTTTTGTTTTTTTTTTTAATGTAAGGTAACACAGAATTTGTGTGGTATGCTTTTTCCTAGTAGCATTAAATTTTTTTAGGCAAGTTTTATTTTTTTGTGGAAAGATTATAAAAAAGGAATGTTCTCATCTATGCTAATTTCATTCAAGAGGAATGCTTTTTAAAAGTACAGTCATTGCCTTGATGTTACAACATTGCTGCAGTTCAGCAGAGTCTGCAAGAAAAACTGGCTTACAAGTGACTGTAAGCAACATGGAAAGTGTGATTTAAAGATCAGGAGTTCTCCTTGGCATCAATGAAAGTTTGATTTATATTGGCTTGATCGAGTAATTTGTTTTCTCCATGTATTTTGATATATGTTCATTAGTATCAAAAACAACATGCACATTTATCATCATTTCCATTTTATTTTTTTTAAAGCTAATTGAATTCAGCCGTTCTTAATTAGCTTAATTCACAAACTATTTTAAAAAGTAAAATGAAGGTAATCAACACAAAACACGGCAGAACAGACCTGTGGACAAAGGAGATTCCTGTGCATTAGCCGAGAGGTGGCATTGCCTCCAGTGCCCAACAGCTGGCTGCCTTTGAGATGGGCAGGAGTTGGACTGCTGTGTTAGTGACAGTTTGTCTAAGCTCATAAATGCTTTATATCCTTATGAATACCTAGGCAGATCTTGCAAAGAACAGCACTGTAGACTCAAGTCACAAGGAAAAGAATGAATGGTATAAATTTGCTTAATTTACATCTGGGTAATAATGTTTTTACATTAGTTTTTATGGGATTATTTCTTCATTTTTACTATGAGCTAGGAAACACTTGGAAAAAAACAACTAGTATTTACAGAAGGTGGATTCAATGCATTTTTATCCCTAGTGCTGCATAAGACTGCTTATTTGTGTTTGCTTAAATTTATAAGGGTATGAAAAGAAAAAATGAGATTTAGGGTAGTAATACAGATTTTGGGTGTGAGCCCTGCTGTATCTCTCTTCTGTGGTCTCAGTGAATCTCAATTTAAGTTGCAAGCCAAAAAAAAAATGAAAGCAACCTGTGAAAACCCAACCTGCTGATCAAGTGAAAGTGTGGAACTTATGTCATGAACTTGATTAATACGTCTCTCATCTAACAGGTGTTTCCAACCTTCAGAACTAGAACTATACAAACCCCTAAATCAGAAAATCATTTGGGAGTGCGTGCAGTTCTTTGTTTCTTTATTTGTTTAACAAAGAAAAGCTGCATTTCTCATCTTTCAAGTGAAAACTATGTGAAACCTTGTAATACCAATAGATTTTTTTTTATTAATTCCAACCTTAAAATGAAGTTTTTGATTACAGAGCAGAAATTGGAGTCTGATTCACAAATGGTGCATATGTGATTACATGCAATATGGTTGGATGCTCTTGCCATTTTTCTCTTGTGTGACCGCCTGTCAACCCTCTGCTGATTCAGATAACCCAATCTCATTCTTTCTTTTATTACTTTTCTTGAAAGAAAATCCAATTAGAATCCATTGACTGATTTTACTGAGAATGACAGTATATTTTTCCAAATAAAATTGGATAAAAAGAAAATTCCCGACCTCCCTTCCAAAACTTCAAGTACGTAGGAAGGATGAATAGAGATCAGTCAGAACCGAAGGGGAAAGAAACTGCTAAAATGTGTTAGGATAACTTGTCCCCAGTATGATAAACAAACGGTGCCATTATGTATTTACATTTATTGTCAGTAAATGTCAAAATTGACAAGCGTTTATTTACAGATCTGATTTCAAATCTAAGCGCTGACCAAGCAGAAATAAAAATAGTCTTATGCTGACATACCTCAAGAAAAGGGAAAAAACATTTTTAACATTTTCGTATGAAAAAGACCAAATGATGCTTGCAAATCCACAACATCACAGATTTATGTATCTGCAGCTACAAACAGCTATCATTTTCTTAGGTATCACCAACAACTGCAGATGATCTCGGTTGCATTTTTAACTTATTAAAGATGGTCTAAAAATTCTATGATTCTTGCAGAGAATGCCAGCTTGCAAAATAGAGATAATAACTTTCAAGTTTTAATTTGAGTTAGCAATTATATTTGGTATATTCCTACCTGTGTTAGAAGTAGAAGCACCTCACAGTTGGCTGCAGATTTTTACAGCAATGAGAACCCATTATTAGATAAAGGCTCACGCTGTACCTAATTGCTGAGAAAGTTGAGTGCAAAGAGTTTAAGGAAGAATCAAAATTTCAGGTAAGATCTCAACAACAACATAAAACCACCTTCTTTTCCCACGTCTGCTGACTCTTTAAAAAATGATCAGTGCCACAGTCTGAAGGGTAAAGAAAGCCATATGGTTCTAAAATCCATTATAGCAAAACTGGAAAAAAATCAATCACTCAGAGAAATTGTAGCATTTAGAATGAGTGAAAGCATAATTATGCAGATACTTAATTATGGTATAATTTTAAGTCTCACAATCTCAATACAAAAAGCTGTTTGTTCTCTACAGTACAGTGAATTCATGGGCATTTGTAAATTATGCTTTTGAGTAGTTTAGTCTTGTGAAGACTGAGGTCAATAAATACAGAGGATTCTTCTTTTGTCCCTTCCCATGTGTGCTTGCTCTCTGCTGACTGTTAGATAATAAATCAAAATGGAGTTATTTTTATTTGAATATTATGGTGTTCAGTGTAGTAAAACCAAGACTCTGGATTGTCTATACGTAGCAGTGACCAAGTTGTTTTTAAATTACTTGATAAACGCAGATAGTAGAATCTTTAATTTATTTCTGACTCGACCTTTCCATTCAAATACTAGCCAATCAAAGGTTAAAATGTGTGACATTCTCTAGGTGTCTTTCAGTAATCGGACGATAATCAAAATGCGAGGGCTAACCTTGTGGAGGATTTTTGGATGCTGCACTTGTTGATGCGTTAGCACAGTCAGACAGCAAAGCTCAGCCTGTGCAGTGCAGCTTTCAGAAGCATGGGTCTACCTGGAACACTGCCGGCACGAGTTACACCCAGGATGCTCTCAGAGAAGCTGTTTAAATACGGGAACAGTACAGCATCAAACGTAACACAGGCTGATGGGCTACAAGTGAACCTGAGCAATATTAATATCGGCGTAGCATTTAACTCTCCTGTTACTTCAGTTCACATTTTGACTATGTGTTATAAAATATATTTTCACTTACAGCCGCCACTGTCCATTCAGTCCATTGTGGTGCAAGTCCAGTGCGTTAATAAAAAGGTTGGCACCATTATCAACCATGAGGTGCGGATTGTGGTGAGAGACAGGAATGATAACTCACCTCGGTTCCAGCAGCAGCAATACTACGTGGCAGTAAATGAGGTCAGATTTTTTTTCTTTCTTTTTATTTTTTTTTATTTTTATGTTTTGTGGGTTCATTGCTAGATACCAGCTTTCTTCTTATTTAAAGTAATAAATTCAGTGGCTTTTAAATCCTTTCCATTTGTACTACTTTGGAGAAACTCATCATGACCAATAGACTTAAGTTTTTAGCATGAAGGCTTTTTTTCCGATTTCCTGACAATCAGGAAGATAAACATACTTTTCACTAGGATGCTTATAATGGAAGAAACTAGAATCTGAAGCTATGGCCTATTGAGAAATAGCACTAATTTACATTAAATTACAAAATGTTTTACTGCATTATACAGCTTTATCAACAAATCTGAAAGTAAAATAAATATATTAATGAAAGACAAATGTAGAGCAAATAATTCAGAAGTTTTTATTAGGAATATTGAAGCTTGGTAAAGTGCAATTTGTCACTGTTTAAAATGGTGCCTGTGAATTGAAGTCTTTATCTTCTAATGGAATAGAAATCTTTGGATTGGACTAGTCTAGATTATTTGAAAGATATAAGGTTTTGTTTTCCTTGAGGTGGTACAATTTACATTACATTTTTTATTCTCATTAGAGATTGAATAATCTGCTAGTAACCAGTACAAAGGATGTGTGTTTGCAGTAAATCAGTATTTGGGGGCTTTTATAATAAGAAGTGGAAGTGGGGAGTGTATGTGCAAAAGTGGAAATGTCCAGAGTGAAACTAAGAGGAGAATGGAAAGACAGACCCGTCTTCTCTGAGTAAAGATGGGAGGAATTACCACAAATCTGGCAAATACCAGAGCACTAATTTATTTACTTCTGAAAGAGCACAAGTGGTTTGATGTTGTTGGGTTTTAGTAGTGTTCTTGTTTCAATTTTTTTTCCTAGTTTTGTGTTTGAGAGATGCTTCCCAATGTGTCAGCAGCGTGTTCGGTTAGGATGAGTTTCTGCTTTAAGTGACCAAGCATGCAGGCAAGTAATGCAGGAGTGGGAAAGCTGGCTGATGAGTTCAGGACTAGTTAAGACCAAAATATAAAGATAAGAAATGAAGGAAAACCCCATGTTATTTTTGAGTAGAGACCTATAAGTGAGATAAGGTTATACAGGTGTGTATCTATTATTTATGTATACATATACATTTTGGTCTTGGTATATACAGTACCTGTATATATACCTGTTGGTCTCTTTGCTGGTGATGATGTGGGGAATATTAAGTGAATGTCTGGCTGAGTTTGTACTAGAGCCCTGCTGTCCTCCAGCACTGTAACGCAGAACCTCTGTGAGTAATGGACCAGCTCCTTCTTAGGGTTGCCAAGAAAAGATTTTCAGCTCTTGACACAGATTGCTACAACTGGTAACTTTAATAAATAAATTTGTGAACATTTTCTGGCTTGTGCATTAAGTCCCTTTTCTCCAAATCTAACTTCAGAATATATATATATATATACAGTATATTGAAGTATATATTTATATATATATATATTATTTTTTTTTACAGGAGTATTATTTTTGAAGGTTGTTACATGGTGAAAATGAAATATGCCATTCTACCATACTATTTTAGGGGACATAAATTTTGTGGGATTTTGGGGAGAAAAACTGCTAAGATTTCTTTTGCCTACGTGTTGGGCTTATCAAACAAGTTTGGTTTTATCTAAAGAATTGAGCTTGTGAAAAGAATATTTTGTTTAAACATAACTAATCTTGATTAGCTTAAGTCAAAACTAACAGCAATTAAGCATGTGTATTTTCTAACAGTGAAGCTTTGCACGTATGGAGATAACAAAGTGAAAGAGCGTTGAATCTCTCTCGTTTCAGGCAGCTCCAACAGTTTGTGACCCTGGTATTGAAACATTTTTGAGGTGTTATTGCTTCTAGCCAAGTACTAAGGGAATACAGAGAGGAAACATAATGCCTTTTAATGAGCGTGTGGCTGTCCTTCACTCTTTGATCTTCGTTTTTATATAAATTAAGCACCTTTTAAATTGTCAGGATCTCCCTCCAGACAAGTTTCAGCCATCCCTCCATCTGTATTTCTTACCACCAGAATTGGAGGGAGGGTCACAAAAAAATGGATGAGTACTTGTCAAGTCCTCCTTAGGCTTATAAATTGTTTTCAAGTTGGCTGTGATGCAGGTAATCAGTTCCAAGATGTGCACAAATGTGTATCTGTATTCAGATATACTATCTGAATGCAGGTAGTATATCAGCGCTGTAACACCAAGGAGGTAAGGACTTCCCATAATCAGAAAGAAGTCTAAAAGGCAGAGAGAAAAAATGCTCCATTTAGAATAATTGGTATTAAGAAATTTAGCAACACTCCAAATATCTGTGACTATTTATTTAAATTACTATTGGGTAAAATGCAGTCTTGCTCTTTCCACCAGCTGCAGTCCTGTTTTAATTAGCTTCTTTGTTTCATTTCATTGCTGTTATGCTTATAGCTCCTGACATGGCACCCCTGTGCCCTTCAGTAGTACCCAGTGGGTTAATGCTCTCATTAATTAACAACAACAAAAAAATTAGAAAGCATCTCAGACTTTCTCAAAGGTTTTAGTGAATGATTACAGTTTTAATGATAGTTTATTTTGCTGGTAATTGGCACTGCTCCTAGTGAATTTTAACTACAGGGAAGCACTGAAAGGGATGTTTAGTGGCTTTTGTTTTTGGATTGTTGATATTTTTCTGGGTTTAGTTTACTTGTAAACTAAAAACTACAGAAATTTCTCTTAAATGCATAATGTAAACCAAATCAAAGGACAATTAGATTTACAGCTACCATACATGTGAGCATCAAAAGCGCCTGTTTTTTTTTTTTTTTTTTTTTTAACAAGGACCTGGTCTGTATCCAATTGAGGACTTGTTCAGGTGGTTTCTCCTGCCAGCTGCTCTGGCACTGACTGTCCACATGGGCTGCAGAGCACATGCACTGTGGCTTTATAATATTACCATCACTAGTGCTTGTATGAAAACATCAGGTAGACATTCCACGTGTGCTGTTTAATCCATTTGTGCGTACACAGTTAGCTTTGGATTTATGACTGCTGTGCTAGCCAGCTTGTCAGTATGTGCTTTGTAGGCGTATTGTCTCCAAGAAGCATCAGGCTTGCTGCCTACACCTCCTTCTGTAAGGAAAGCCAGGCCAAAATTTCAGCTTTGGAGTTACTCCATAACGTTTTCAGGGAGTAAAGTGTAGGGCAAAGATTTTTCAAAATACTTAAATATGTTTATATTTATTGGTATCTGTAATGCAAGACATAACTCTAACTAGATTCTACTTATTGGTTGGTTTTTTTTGTTTGTTTGTTTGTTTTTTTAGCATCAGAAGTGTCAAAATGATATTTTGGAGAAACAGTGTTTCTTATGTCAAATGTTCTTTATTTGAAGTGCCCACAAGATAGTAAAATTAATGTATATAAGAAATTGAGGGCTATTTTAATGCCAACATAAATCCCAGTTTCATACGTCTTTTCATAAAGACACGGATTAAAATTAAGCTCATACTTTTCCAGAAAGCTTAAATGGAGTTGGGTTTGGTAGGGTAGAGTCTGTCTTGGTTTATACCAATTTTCTCTATTTTTTATACTTGATTGGTTAGAAAAAGAGGAGCAAGTTAGACAAAAAGCTCCCCTGGCCCAGTGCATTTTCTCTGTCAGCGACCCTTGCAGACGTTCAAGGAAGACTGTAAGGACTGGGAAATGTGCAGAGTTAGAGCTCTGTCAAGCTCCAGCCCCTCGTAGCTGTAAAACCTGGTAGACCAAAGGCAGCGTAAGGAATGGCTCTTGGCCAGTTTTTCCTTTCTCAGTTTCTTTTGAACACAAACATCTTAAAATTCTTACTGCAAGAAGCATCAACTAATTTGTGTCAAAATTTTGCATCCTGTCAGAGGCACCTGCCAGTATTAGGAGTTGCATAGGTGTTAATTCAGAAATGGCATGGTAGCATTTAGTTGGTTTTCAAAGCCATCATTCAGTTGAGGGGTAGAGAATTTTGTCATTAATACCTATTTTCTGTTACCTCAGTATTTAAGTGGTAATACTCTCTTCAGTCTTCTTTCTACTTCCAAATTCATCCCAAAGTGGGTGAACATGAAAAGAGTAAAACTGCATGCCTACAGAAAACTTCAAAATCCTTCAGAATATGTGCACTTATTAATTCCATAACTATGTGGTCAGTCTTATTTAAAAATAAATAAATAAATGAATCCCTTCCTTCCCTTATCGAGGTGTTTATTTATAGACTTTTTTTGTCATATCATAGCTATATATATATGCCTTAATGTCTGGCACTGCAATGAGAAATGCCGTGTTTTCTCTTTTATTCAGAAATCTTCATTAGGATCCTGAAAATCGTGAGAAATCTCTATCCATAGTGCCTGTATAACTTGGGCCTGTTTTGCCTGTTGTCAAATGATTCTTAGGGAATTGTTTTCTTCTGTCGTTCCTACACATTCTTGTATACAAGACCCTTGGGCAAGGTGATCCAGAATTAAAATGTGTAGAGAAATTGTTTCCTTCCATGTGTGGTTTTAAAACTCATCTTTTGCATCTAAGTGTGAAAATGAACATTACATGTTTATTGAGAAAATATCTTTTTCAGGATGATCTTAATTATTCTACTGAAAGTATATAGCTGCTGTACAATTGCTCTTGTGTTCTTGTTAAGGTTTATGGAGCCTGTAATGTTTGCTTGACTTGATGGGTTAGCTTTGAGTAGCAGTGCTGGTGTTCCCAGTTAAATTACAATTAAAATTGGTTTTAAAGTTCAAGCTTCCTTAAAGAATAAAATACAGTATCTCCTTCTCTAAAAAAACTATGTGCTTTTTGAACAAAATATTATCTAAACATTTATAAATGAACTAGCTACTTTGAGGTAGTTAACAAAGAGAAAAAAATGCCTTGCATTTTAAAGGCAAGCAAAGGAATAACCTTACATGCATTTGTGTGCATATATATATTTAGATGCACTTACATTTGAGTACGTGTATACGTATATTTATA